CGAGTTACCTCGTGATCGAATATATGTCTGGCTTGCAATTAGTTCCCGAATGACTCTGACCACCTCTTTGCAGGCCCCATGAATCCCACTCATTGATAAATCCCACTGATTTTGGCAACTAACTTGTGCCTTGCCACTTCAACAGGCTCTAGATAACCGATACAATAACAACAAAATCCATCCTTATTAAGATCGCTGATATGAATTCCAAACTATCGCTGGGATGGCTAATTTTAATATACAGAAGTGAACAAAACCAAAGTCTCTACAATGTGTGACACGTTGCGGAAGTGGCACAAGTGGACTAAATTGTGAAAAACCAACAAATTAAGCCAACTTAAATATTGTAGATTACCTTTTGGACATCTGGCTTCAAGCCATAATCAGTTTAAAAGAGTATTTGTACATATATTGGTTTTGAAAAGTATACAGAGGGCTTAATAATTTTTGCATTATAACGGGTTATAACTAAAAATTGAAACAAATTTTAATGGTCAAATGCTAATATTATGCAATTAGCGAAGTGATCATCCTTTTCACGTGTTATTTGTAACAGCAAATTCAATTAGTGCTTAAAATGGTATCTATGCAGCAAATTTTTTATAAAAAACATGAAACCGCCGGAAAAAGTTTACGTGTGTGCATTTTATTGCGGAAGGCGTCTCCAGAAGAACAATATACTCAATATTAAGGACTCTAAAAATAGAAAGGCAACCGGGTTGTGGAAGAAGCCGACTATTATGACGCCCCAAAACATTTGGAAGCTGAAGGCAGCATTCAACAATAAGATTGCAGGAAGTCAAACCGAAGCCGCACGAAAACTCGAATGCTCATAGCCATATATCTGCAAAACGTTAAATAGACTTAGCACTAAATCGAGAAAAAAACATCGTTTTTCAGGGGCCACTGAAGAGCAGATAAGTCAAGTAAAATACCAATGTCGGTGAATGTGCGAGAATTCGAGTGGAAAATCATTCATTTTGGATGACCATAGCTATTTTAACTATGCGATCCGTAAATGCCGGGCCACGATGTACACATAGCCAATAAAGTCTGCGTTCACCCGACACATTTTTTAAGTGAAGTAAAAACACAATGTAAATAGGTAATTTCAAATCAAATTTTCTACATGTATTTTTTCTTTATATTTTTAAGTTCAAAATGCAAAAACAAAAATGTATATTGCTATTTTCATGTTTGTGATAACGGGATTTTAGTGTAAGAAGAAGTAAACATAGGCACCATTAAGTCTGCGTTAAGCTTTAAAACTAGTTACAAAAGTATTGATTTATTTATTTAAACGCCAATCGGCAATATACATAGATATAATAAAGAATTCAAGTATTATACAAAAGTAGCTAGGGTATATTAGTGTAATATCTGGAAAATATTCAAATAATTGTAAGTTAATATGTATTTCAGACTTGATTTAGATGTAGTTCAGACGAGCAGGTGTCTCTTGGTGTTTTCGGTAAAAGCAGCGTATGTTCCTCCATAGAAATCAATTTCACCTTGAAGTGAATTTACTAATTTAGCCAGTCTATTCTGAGGACCATGGATAACATAATTTTTCTTGGATTTCGATGATTTTAGTATTCTATTTCGCCTCAGGGTAAGACCAGCAGGGGCGAGTTCAAAACTGTTTAGGATCTCATGAGCATCAGTGATGTTATTGACTAATTTGTAGAAAAAAGCAGAGGTCAGCGACAGAATTTACGCTGCACATTTTCAACTTTATCGATTGTCGTGTTAGTGTAGGGAGTGAAGCCAGGATTCCGAAATACATACAACGTCGTACTGGTTAGCCGCTAATGCTGTTTGAAATGTTGAGAGTTTTGTACGCAGACCTCTGACGTTCTGGTAGCACAGGTGGACGTAAGATACTTTCTTCTTGCTCGTTGAGCGAACGAAATTTCTTTGAACGATTCTTGGGACACCATGGATATATTTAATTGTGTTACTGTCATCACCACTCTTCACGATTGAATCAAGCTCTTGACGCAAATTTTTCAGATGAAGTTGTTGAGAGGGAGTTAGATCAGTCTTGAAAATAAAACCTGAGTTTTCGTCTGTTGGTCTGTATTTGATAATGGAAAGTGCATCGGCTGCTGAGCGGGTGGTAATGTGAAGAGGACGTGTACATCTAGATGTAGGACGACCCAGTCTACGTAACTTGAGTTCAGTGGCCTCATCCTTGAGACTGGAAGGCAAAGCTGTGACTAACTTTGTTCTGTCATCCTCTAAACGGTCCTTTCCAGCAGCTTTATCAGACTCAGGAATATTTAGGGCAAACACGTTGGTTTCACGGCGTTTTCGTTCCAACAGTTCAGTGAAAAACTCTTCCTGGCTGGTAGGCAGCCTCATATCTACGTTTAGCTTGTCTTCAACTGATGTAAGTTTGTCATCCAGGGCAGAACATTGATTTGATAGATAGCGAGACGTTTTGTTCTGACAGTTTGCTTACTTCTTTTCTTAAGTCCTTGATTTCACTTACAACTGATTTTTTCAGGTCCCTGAACTCACGTTCATAATTTGTTGTAAAACGTTCAAAGTGTCTCTTGAGTAAGGTTTCAATATCCTTTGACGGTGGCGGATCATCTGATGCCTCCTCATCGGAATACAATACATCACATGTCTTAACACTAATGTCACTTGCACATGAGTCACAGTTCCAAACTGTTTCTTTTTTCTTAATGCTGTTGGCGATGGATTTAAACTCATCGGATGAAAGGTTGGTGCACTTTGAGTGAAACCAACGTCGACAAGCCGCACATTGAATACTTGGTTGCGGTTTATCCCGGATTATGCCTGAGCAATAACCACAAATCTGTTGTGTTGTATTTACTTTTTTGGGTGGCATTTTGTAAGTACACGATACAGGAAAAAAAGATATGTTCCAAATAATTCCGGAGTAATTTTTTATTTCCGCGTATTATCAATGCATTCATTCACTCTATGTCTAATTCACAATCAATGTTAATGTTTGTTATGCTTTTTATTATTACACCTCCCAATATTACGTCACACCCAGCTTTCTTTGTTGTACGAAATTCAATTATGGTTCAATATCAAAATTTAATCGAACTTTTCTTTGTACATCCTTTATATTTTCTTATAAGAATCATTATTTCCTTTAAAGGAAACTTATATGAGGCATTTATTTAATATTATTTCACTTTTATATTATATTTCGTAAAATTTTTCTAGCAGTTTCGGCACAAATTGTTTTTTTAATGGTTATATTTACGTTTTCAATAATCTTTGTGAACGTAATTCGAGGGTTAACTTTCATAATATTTATTATTTCCCGTTCTTCCCGGGCTGATATTTTCGGACGGCCAGATCCAGGTTTTAACGTTAAAATTCCGTTTTTTTTTTAATTGTTTACGACGCGCTGGACAGAAGAATACGTTCTTCCAATAGTTTGCCCACTTTTTCTTAAACTTCCGCCATCTTCCCACAACTTAATGATAATTTTTCTTTCCGACAGACTAATTTCTTTTCCTTTGGTTTCCATTTTTTTAAATATTATTAAAATGCGTCACGAGCTCTTTAGACGACTAATTATATTAAAACACAATAAAATCTACTCAAAAAGAACGAAAAAATTCATGAGAAGTAACGGTATTTCCAATTCAAGCTAACTGAATGCAGACTTAATGGTGCCTATGTTTACTTGTTCTTAGTCTAAAATTCCGTTATCACAAAAATGAAAATAGGAATATACATTTTTGTTTTTGCATTTTGAACTTAAGAATATAAAGAAGAAATACATGCAGAAAATTTGAACTGAATTACCTATTTACATTGTGTTTTTACTTTATTGGCTATGTGTATATTACACAAACGATATCTCTGCAACGCCTACTTTTGTCCAAAGTTATGCTCTACATAACATAGCAGTTTCTCCTAAGGGAATTTCTGAGACATTCTTTAAACGAAATGAGCATTTTTTAGTTCCTTTCGTACATAATATCAACACCATAAAAACGATGAAATCGTATTTAGACCGGACAAAGCTTCTTCTCAGTATGCAAATGCGACATTGGAGTTCTTGGTCAATAAAAACAACTTCTTTGTGCCTAAAGAAAATATGCTGACAAACTTACCACAATGCTGACCGATTGAAGATTTTTTTTGAAGAAGTCAAAGCTCTAGTGTATAAAATTAGTTAGAAGGCCCAAAAGTTTAAGCAGCTGACACGTTGCATCCGCAAGTGCCTTAAGAAAGTTGATACTAACGGTGTACAACGTGCTTGCCCAAGTACGACTGGTTGCTGACAAGGGCCCGTATTTTGAAGTTCATTAATTTTTTCGTTTTTATTACATGGAATAACTTACCTTTGTTTAATAGTATATTTTGAGTTACGCTGAAATAAAATGTGTGCAGATTGTTAGCCATAACCCGTTAGTTTATAGTCTTTTCGCAAAGGAGATAATTGATCAATTAACCGGCCTTTGCTGGATTAAAGTGCTAATTAAGGTCGTTTTACCATACATAATAAAAATTTTAATTTACTATAATTATTCTCAATAGATTACAAATCCAATTGAAACTGGACTACAACTCTGCGGATTGTTGACCACGCTGTAAATTTGGCTGTAATATGCAAAATGTTTATTAAAAAATTTAATCTTTACTTTTTCTTTATTTAGCCCAAAAAATAAAAAAGAAGAACAGCATAAAAATTTATAACAGCTGATCGTTAATCGAGTAGCCGTAGTTTGCAGCGTAAACGATGATCAGATTTGAGAAAATAATGAGGTTGTGAAACAATGAAAGATCTTCGAAACCATATTGGAAACAGCTTCAACGCATACTTTTTTGCTAATATATGCAATAAGATATAGAAAAGCTAATAACTTATGTGATCTAAAACCTTTGTTTGTTTCATATCGAAATATATTCAGTTTTAATTTTTTATCATACGGATGAAAAATTGTTCATATGCGACACCGGATATTTGGTTAATAAAAGTAATCACAACATTAAAAACTCACTTTCTTTATATGTGGAATCACTTGAGATATGTGAATTAATCCGTTTTGAGTCCGTGAGATCTTTCAACATGACTTCACAACTGTGAAGTAACGAGTCTCCAAATCTTAATTTAAGTAATTCCAAGTTTCGAATTTCTTTATCGGCATTGAAATCCAAATAAGTTAGTAACCGATCTGCCATTAAGTTACGATATTCGTTCATAAATAGTTCTTTACTTCCATATATCTCAACTACCATAGATATTATATCGGATGAACGGTTGACATTGGTTAACTGAGCGCGTGCTGTCTGATCGATACCATATGAATCTGGCAACCAATTTTCCCAATTGTTAAGTTCGTCATTACCGTCTAGCTTGGGATTTCCTTTAATTGATTCTCCTTTAGCTAGTTCTTCTGTTAAATCAGTAGGACCTTCTTCAGTGAGACCTGTTACCACTCGCCTCACAGTATCGCTGCGTTTGCGAAGATAATCTCTTATTGGTGCAGTTACTGTTTCTAAAATAATTCCACTGTTATCAAGATATCTAATAGCTTTAATAGCCGCAATATATCCAGTTAAAATATCCATAGTATTAACGCCAGGATGTAATACTCGTACTTTTAGTGTATTCGTCAGAGTTTGAATGAAGTGCTTTCTCATATCTATCTTCTCCATGCAAATCTTTAAATCATCTATGGCAGGAATGGAATCCGGAAAATCTAAAATTAAAAATAAACTTAAAGACCTTTAAATAAAAACATAATTTAGGTTCTGCTGTAATACGCTGAACAATGTAAATGAAATGTAGGATGGGAATAACATAAAATGATAACACAAACTATTTTCGCAGATGATATTATTTGCGCAGTAATAAATAAATTTACCTTTACTCTTAGTTTGCACATACAAACTTAAACAATAGCTGTCTTCGACTGGTCATTTCTCTGGTCTCTTGTCAAAAAATTTACATGTGAAAGCAACAACAAAGTTATCGAGTTGAATTGAAGCAGGAGAGTATGCGGATACCTCATTAAAGTGGTATAACTTCTATCTTCATTGCTGCCAAGTTTTGTTTTGCATATTTTAGCTCACTTTACTATTGTGAATGGTTCAAATGACAAACGAAATTAAAAGATTCCTTTTTTTCCTGTATTTTTAAAACATAAGACTTAATTCCCATTATAATAATTTATAAAAAACTAAAAAAAAAATGATTACAGTAACGTTTTTTAACGCGAAAAAAAATTTTTTTTTCCACGAAGAAAGAATTATAACACTAGTGCTCTTTATGTATACTCAAACCGTACAAACTCATATTTACGAGTTTGGTTCTTGATTGCCATTCGGAATGGGTTCAAAATCAATCCGAAGCAAATTATAACAAGTAAGGAAGGATCAAGTTCGGATGTAAATAAACATTTTATATTAGCACAATATCCGGGAAGTATTTTTTAGTATGGCACCAGGTAAAGATTTACCAGAGGGGTTGACATTATGTATCTTAATTAAAGCCCTTTATAGTTTTTCCGTTAACGGCAATTGTGGCCGTGGCAATTTTTTTTTTGTATAATGCTAAACTTCTCAGAGTGCAAAAGAACGCATATACCAAGTTTCATAAATATGTACATATATCTTAATTTTTTCTTATATCATAGCTTGCTCGGACAGACAACCGGAATTCAATTGTCTGACCATCCTGATTGTTTACTCTTTTCGTTGTATTCCACGATTTCGTGTCTTCATACTTGTATAACAACACCTTTCGTTTTTATATACTCAATTTATTTTCAATATTTAAATACACTTTTTTTTTTATTTTTTTGTAAATATTCAAAATAAACTGATGCCAGTGGAGCGGTGATGTGGCTGCCTGGGCAGCCCCTGCAGTTAATTTGACTCTGTCAAGTAAGGGAAGGTGGATCCACTCCTTGATACCGAATATAAGCCGACGTGTATTATTACCTTATCTTATCTTATCTTTATATATACATTTATTATATGCACTGTACCAATTGTATTGAAACACCTAGTGCTAAAATGTGTCCGATTCCGACATAAAAGGCGAATACTCTCTGAAAAGGTAGGGAAACTTCTACCTATATGTGTCCCAGACTGCCTATATGCGGCTTAATAAGGCATATTATGCAAAAGGCCTGCGTAGACGAAACTGCTAAAAGACCAAGAGCGCAGTCCCTAAAAACTACAAGACAAATTTAAGACGTCTACATAAGGGAATATAAATAAACGAGAATTATCATATATAATATGATTCCTGCGAAGGAAAGCCTCGTGGTTGTTCCGCAGGGAAACACAGGTCTGAGAGCAAGGTGGTGCTTTTGAACAGTGAATCGGGCATAATTCATGGTACGGGCCTTTTTGAAAGATTTGCATTCACCGTTGGCGTATCCATAAAAATAAAAGCACTCGCGCAGCACACACACACACAGCATACAACACAACACACCAACCACACCATCACCACCGATCCAGCCCAAGCATATTCACCACCCAAACTATCAAAAGTATCCACCCGACTGGGACGGGGTCTCTACACGTTTTGTGTGTGTGTAGTGTGAGACAACAATATACATAAATCCAATTGTCAAAAAATTAAAATATTGTTTGAATCTTTTCTATTATTATTTAAGAAGTGGAATTAATATTGAACGATTCGGATTAACAGTCCATTATCCCGTGTTGGCCAATTTTCCACTTAAAGTTTCAGTGTGGTTTTTGTGCAAATTGAATACAAATGCCATACGCATACAAATGGTCCTCGAGCCTTGTCACCTAAGAGGTAAACAACAACTAGTTAATGTGAAAAAAAAAATTAATAAACAAATACACATACTTGTATATATAAAAAAAATGCAAAAAGTTTAAAAGTAGATACAAATTATTCAACAAAATTCACTGGAAGCAAATGTTTTTAGCACTTCTATTGACGGTGTGAAAATCAAATTTTTTCACACCAATTGAACTGTCATTGTGGCCAACTGCCTTTTCCGGTTGCGTCGCATGCCTGGGAAATTGGCAACCGCGCACAGACGAAATAAATCAATTATAGCAATTTATGTGTTTGTACTCCATATACTATATACAAACATATATACACATATAGCCTAAAATATTTTGAAATTTTATATATATACTCTCGCAACCTGTTGCTACAGAGTATAATAGTTTTGTTCACCTAACGGTTGTTTGTATCACCTAAAACTAATCGAGTTAGATATAGGGTTATATATATATAAATGATCAGGATGAAGAGACGAGTTAAAATCCGGGTGACTGTCTCTCCGTCTGTCCGTCCGTGCAAGCTGTAACTTGAGTAAAAATTGAGATATCTTTATGAAACTTGGTAGACATGTTTTTTGGTACGGTGAGACGGTTAGTATTGCAGATGGGCGTAATCGTATCACTGCCACGCCCACAAAACGCAATAAGATATAAGACTGTTATTTGGTACACACGATCTCATTAGGGAGGGGCATCTGCAGTTAATTTTTTTTTAAGTGGGCGTGGTCCCGCCCCTAATAGGTTTAATGTGCATATCTCCTAAACCGCTAATTCTATAATAACAAAATTCACTGGAAGCAAATGTTTCTAGAACCTCTACCTACAGTGTGAAAATAGTTGAAATCGGGTGGCAACTCCGCCCACTCCCATATAACGGTACTGTTAAAAAATACAAAAACCGCGATAAACCAAGCACTAAATACGCCAGAGACATTTTATCTCTGGGATGGTATGTGATGACTTTATAGGAACCGCGTTCAAAATTAATCAGGGGGCGTGGCACCGCCCACTTAAAGGTTAAAACCCATATCTTGGGATCCGCTTAACCGATTTCAACCAAATTCGGTGCATAACGTTCTTTCCATATTTCTATGTTATAATGCGAAATGGGCGAAATCGGACTAAAACCACGCCTATTTCCCGTATAACACCATTTTCATCTCCATCTGATTCTTTCACTTTCCACTATGCATATCAAGCAACAATGAATATATCGCGGTAAAACTTGGCGTGAATAATACGTCTAAGTTTGTCACCTTGTGACCAAAAATTGTCTAAATCGAACCAAAACTGTTCAAGCCCCTAAGTACTAAATATGTGGACCCCAGTGGCTATGGTTGACCTTCAACCGAAAATATCAGTCAATCCACAAAGAAATCTCAAACGAGTAAACCATTTGACTTTGCGAGAGTATAAAATGTTCGGTTACATATTGGCCCTTCCTTACTTGTTCATTATGTTTTTTTCTAACTTGATTCAAATTTTAATATGATTTTGTATAATTTATTTTGGTTTTGCTTTGTTAGCATTTTTCTAACGGTATAAGTCAGAATTTTCAACCATTTGGTAAACATTTTTTATTAAAATTAAATTAATTTATTACTCTTTTATTTTTTCAGTTTCTAAACTTTGTTATTTTGTTTGTACAATTGTCACTTTTTTTTTTAATTTTCTCAATTTTCGTTTCATTAACCAATTTATTTTATAATTTTTTTTTACTATTCGAAGTATTTTACTATTGATTTTTTTATCCATTTTTGTTTTTTTGAAAAATTTTCTCAATTTTTTTTATTATTTGAAATTATTTGAAACTTCTTTTTATTGTTCGAATGTTTTTTTACTGTTCGATTTTTTTTTATATATATTTTACTATTCGAAATTTTTATAAATGATTCTCTCGAATTTTTTATTAATGATTTTTTTGGTACATTGTCACTTTTTTTAATTTTCCTAGTTTTCGTTTTAATAACCAATTTATTTTATAATTTTTTTACTATTTGAAATTTTTATTATTGATGTTTTTTACTCATTTTTTTTTTTTTTTTTTAAATTTCCTCAATTTTTTTTATTATTTGGTATTTTTTTTTTATTGTTCGAACTTTTTTTATAAATATTTTACTATTCGGAATTTTTATTAATGAGTTTTTTGGTACTTTATTTATATATATTTTGAAAAATATCTTTAATTTTTTTCATTATTTGAACGTTTTATAATTTTTATTTTTTTACTATTATTGTCTAGTATTTTTTTTGGAATTTTTTTAATCTCTTCACATTTTTTCTAATTATTTGGTAGACATTTTTAGTAATTTTGGTAATCTTATATAAACATTTTGCAATTAAATTTTTAGGGTATGTGTTTATATCAATTTTATTGCTTCTGAACTTATTTTTTGTAATTTTTTTATACATTTGTACATACATCTACATATGAATGTAAGTGCATTATACAGCTTTCTCGAATTTAAACAAAGAAAACTTGCTTCTTCACGAAGCACTTATAAATATTAAATTCTTTGGCAACCACATTTACCGTTAGCCTACTTTCTGTCATTGTTTTCGATTGGTATCACAAAATTGAATTGAATTCGGTTTAAGTTCTCGCATGAATTTTTCATTTCCAATATAAAATTTTAAAATATTTTAGGCTATATGTGTATATACGTTTGTATATAGTATATGGAGTACAAACACATAAATTGCTATAATTGATTTATTTCGTCTGTGCGCGGTTGCCAATTTCCCAGGCATGCGACGCAACCGGAAAAGGCAGTCGGCCACAATGACGGTTCAATTTGAATGAAAAAATTTGTTTTTTCCACCGGAAATGTTTGTATTCATATAAATTACTTTTTATTTGGAATTTTTTATTTTTGGCTGTCTGTTTGCATTTAAGCGAACTAGTCTCTTAGTTTTTCAG